GTGCGGTAGAGAGAAATTACCCCTGGCTTTAGAGTCAGGCCTAGGTTTGAATCTTGGCTATAATGTGGAGCTCCCCCCCCCCCCCCCCGCAGCCTGGCAGGGTTGTTTTAAGAATCAGAGTTAAGTATATGATTGCATGTGCAGCTCAGTTCCTGGCAGGTGATTAGTATTAAATCGTGGCTACCATCCTCCAGACTGAAGGGAAAACATGTTTGTGGCCAACGTTGATTTACTCTGCTTTCCGTATGTTACCTCATCTGGTCTTTCCCACATCCCGACGAAGTGGATCCTGTCATCCTGACGAAGAGACTGAGGTTCAGAGAGGCCATTAGTGTTCTTGGCTAGGGAGTGGCTGAGGCTGTTTACGGGTAAAGCAAGATTCCCAGTTCCTGCCCTGGGGATGCTTTCAGGCTTGAAGATGGGAAAAGAGAACCTAAAATAGAAGGCAGTGGTGTGTGTTGGGGGGGCGGTCAGAAGCTTTTGCTGCGTTGGCAATGCCGAGGAAGGTTTGAGAAGGAGGAGGGGAGCAGGGCTGAGCTGGGAGGGGGCATCACAGGGAAGGGTGAACAGGAGGCCTGAGCAAAGGCATGGAAGTGGGACTGAGCCTGGGCTAGTGGACCTGGTGCCAAAACCGCCACCTCCTCCTCCTCCTCCTGGGCTCCTGCCAGCTAGAGTGAAGGGGACCTGGGGGCAGGGCGAGGCAGCACCTGATGGGCTGTCACTTCGCTGTCCCCCAATTTAGGGCCCAGGTGGCTCCAGGAAGCCCCTTGCTGCATTGGCAGTCCCCGAATCTGGCCAGGTCTCCTCTGAGCGTGTGTGTCTGTTGTTGCTCTTCCCCAGAACATGGTGATGAGTTTCCGAGTCTCCGATCTTCAGATGCTCCTGGGTTTTGTTGGCCGGAGTAAGAGCGGACTTAAACACGAACTTGTCACCCGGGCCCTCCAGCTGGTCCAGTTTGACTGTAGCCCCGAGCTATTCAAGAAGATCAAGGAGCTGTACGAGACACGCTACGCCAAGAAGAGCTCAGAGCCTGTCCCCCAGCCCCACCGGCCCCTGGACCCCCTGACCATGCACTCAACCTACGACCGGGCTGGCACAGTGCCCAGGACTCCCCTCTCGGGCCCCAACATTGACTACCCCGTGCTCTACGGGAAGTACTTGAATGGACTTGGACGCTTGCCTGCCAAGACCCTCAAGCCAGAAGTGCGTCTGGTGAAGCTGCCCTTCTTTAACATGCTGGACGAGTTGCTGAAGCCCACAGAGCTGGGTGAGTCTGCCACTGCCCTGGGGGGGAGGGTCCCACCTTCTGCATTCCCCCAGTGCCTGTGGCAGCTACGTCACTGACCCGGAGTGTCTCTCGGGAAGCAGCGAGGGCCAAGGGGTCGTGAGGGGCTTTCCCTCCTAGGAAGCACAGAAGCCCCCTCTGGGTCTTTATATTAGTGACCTGTAGGGTTGTCTCATGAATGAGCGTGAATCACAGCAGCTTAGCACGACAGGCACTTGTGAGGGTGAGAACTTGGGAGTGGCTTAGCTGAGCAGTCCTGACGCATGGGCACTGGTGAGGTCTCCGTCAGGCTGTTGGCTGGGGCCTGTCTCATCTGAAGGCCCGACTAGGGCTGGGGGCCGCCCACTCACAGGGTTGCTGGCAGGTCTCGGTTTCTTGCTGGCTTTTGGCTCGAGACCCTGATTCTTGGCATGTGGGCTCTGGCGACTGTTTAAGCATCCTCACAGTGTGGAATGGTGGTTTGCTGCGTCCGGAACCAGTGATGGGGGTGGTGGGAGGGTTAGTATGCGCACGTGTGTGAGCGTAGGGGCAGCTAGAAGCCACGTCGCTTCTTTGACTTCCGCTTGGAAGTGACCTAACTTTGTGTTCCACGTTCCGTCGGTCAGACAGTCCAACTCTGTACATTATGGGCCAGGACTGTTCCAGCCTGGACCATCAGGAGGCGGGCATCACTGGGGGCCACCGGGGATGCTGGCTTCCATGCTCTAACTCCCTGTGGCAAAAGGGCTGGAAGTTGGATCTGACCTTCCTTCCTTCCTTCCTTCCTCCCACAAAAGGCTTGTTTCCTGGTAGGCAGCCTTGGGAGCAGCCTTGGCCAATGGGTTTAGGCCGATCACCATGGACCAGCAGGTTAGGGAAGGCTGGCTGTGCTCCCAAGAGGTGGGACACCGCCAGGAGTAGAGGAGACAATGCCAGGGCCTTGTGGTTCCTCTCTGCTCATTTCTCTGGCCCCCAGGTTGATGGCGCGCCGTGTGTGAACAGGCCCCTGGCCCCTCACTGGCAGCCGTGATGATGGGGCGGGGTGGGTGTCAGCCTGATCTCGGCCTCCTGTGCTCCCTCCAGCCACAGCTGCTGGTGCCTCCAGGGCTCCAGATAGCGAGTCTAGTGCGACGGGCTTCTTGGCGCCCCTCGGATTTGACTGGGTTCCCGCGTGGGCCTGGAGGCCCCTCTGGTCGTCATTCTCACCTCTTCCGTCTTCTTCCCCTTGAGGGCCTGCTGGGTGGGAGGCCCGTGGAAGCCCACCCTGGGGAAGCAGCAGGGAACAAGCAGAGCCCTCCACCCTTGTAAGGGTTCACTCTGGCATTCCTCGTTTAGGGCCTAGAGGTGCCCTGAGCGCATGTCAGTACTATGGGTCCAGCTGCCCCCCTGCAGCCCCTCATCCACATCTCCCTTTCAACCCCTGCATCTTTACCGAGCCCCTGCTGCACACCAGGCTCTGGCCCTGGTTGTGAGTTGGTCTCTGTGTGCCGTGGCAGAGGTCACAGCCCCACTGTGCCCCCACCCGCCATGCCCCCTGCTGTGTGCTTCAATCCCTCCTGCCCTGCTGACCCAGCATCCCGTCTTGCTCAGCCAAGGGGCCCCTCTGTGCACGGAGAGTTCCACGCCAGCCCCGTGCCAGCGAGCCCACTCTGTCCAGCCCTAGCTGCGGGGAAACGGGGGGGATGCAGCTGCCTCTTTTCCTCCTTCCTGTAGCCCTTGAGCTTCGTGAGGTTGGGCAAGGCGGCTGTGGTTCCGGTGAAGCTGGAAGGAGTTGCTGCTGGTCCAGGCCTTGGAGTCCCAAGGCCCCGTATCAACCCGAGTCTCTGCCCTCTCCTGCCTTCCCTCTGGCGGTGTTGGTCACCAGCCCCCGAGTGGGGAGTAAGTTGGCCTAGCAGCACCTGTCGTGGGGTTGACATGGCACCGTTGGAGACCCAAGGCCCTTTCCTCAGTTTCTCCAGGACAGCCCCCACCCCGCCCTGGCTCTGCTCCTCCTGACTACCCTCTGTATGTGTTGGAACCCATTCTCCCCCTACCGCCAGGGGTTCTCCGGCAGGCTCTGGGGGCCTTGGGACTGGCTGGCTCTGAAGGTCAGGCTGATGGTTCAGGTTCCTGAGGACTCAAGGGTGATGTTTGTAATAAGGAGGCTGGGTTTTCACCGGGAAGCAGAAAGTCAGGCATGGCACTGGGCGGGGGACAGAGGTGACTTTGAACTCAAGGGCCAGCATTCTCCCTCTACTGCCTGGACCACGAGCATCCTTCCTGCATGGTCCGCTCCCACTCCTGCCCCGCAGTGCATCACTTTGCCCTGAGCCCCCGGGGACCCCAGTCACCTGATCTCCGGGAGAGTCTGCTCCCCTGTCTACACCAGGAATTACTCTGCTGGCAGCTCAGAACAAAGAGGCCGACCCCGCCCTGCCCTGGCTCCCACCCACTCCCCCGCCCCTATCCTGAATGTACCCCTTCCTTGGGACTCCCATCCTCAGGGACCCTCTGTTGCCTGCTAGGTTCTGAGGGAGCGTCCTCGTCGAGCACAGATCTGGTCCTGAAGCCGTCTGGTCCCCTCTATTCCAGGACCAGCGGTTTTGGCCCCCCGCTCCTCAACCTGGGGGCCTCCCTGGGGTGACTCTTCTACAGCGCTGGCGTTGCCCAAGAGCCACCTCACGGGGCTTGCGCTCAGCCGGCTTCCCCTTCCCCCCGTGCTCCTGACCATGACCTGCTGACCAGAATGAGGTCCAAACACTCTGGTCTGTTTCCCCGGAAGAGCCGCCGGCCAGCTCCAGCTTCGGGATGGAGACCGCGCCGGGTGCAGAGGAGACATAAATCACAGGGAGTGGAATGTTTGGGTTGGGGGAGGGGAGGAGAATAATGGAGCTGGAAGGACCTTAGGAGACAGATGATCTGCTCCAGCGGGGCTGGCACCTAGAAAGGTTGGGAAACTGGCGCAAGGTCACACAGCATGCTGAGGAGGGGGCCCTGGGGCCGCAGCTCAGCCATCTTCCTGACTCTGACCCTTCCCTGAGTCATCAGTGCCCTGCACCCCTGTGGGGAGATACCCATTTTGAAGCACGGGAATGTTCTGGACCTCAGGCCTCCTCTTAGCTCAAAGAGCCTGGCTGTCCGACCCATCCCAGCCAGGAAAGGGGCACTTGCTTCCCAACCCCAGCAGAATCCAAGGGGGGCCAGGGAACACCATCCTGGGCATGCCACTGCAGCTGGGGGCTCACTGGGCATCTGACAGCCACCCAGGGTGTGAGCGGCCAGAGAGTGACGGAGGAGGCCCGGAGCCCCGTCGGTGCGTGGGAGAAAGGAGAGGCCATCCTGAGACTTGAGGGCGGAAGGAAGGAAGCGCGACCTGACGCAGTGCTGCTCTGTGAGGCTCGCCAGTGTCCTGTGGCCAGCGTCTCGGGCTGTGGGGCCGGGCCCTGCCGCCCCGAAGTGAAGGAGCCAACCCACGTCGTGACAACTCCGAAGGGTCTCCTGGTTGTCTCCGTGCCCCAGAGGGTGGCCAGCACCAGTGCTGGCTGGGGACTGCTGGTCCGGCGCCCGCCCCGTTGTGCAGGGCACACACGTGTTCCCCCTCCGGCCTCTGGCTGGTATCACCGAAGCAGCAGGGGAGGTATGGGGTCCTCCGGCTGGCGTGTTTTGCCGGGAAGCTGCACTTGAGGTGAACGAACGGTGCCGGGAGAGCATGCTCTGCTTGGGGAGCGCAGGCTTCCTGGGGGCGGTCAGGGCCGCGAGCTCCTGCTGATGCATTCGTGGGGAGGTGGCAGGCAGGAGGCTTCCTGGAGGAGGCCACGTTCCAGACCTGAGGGGTGAGTAGCCATAAGCCTGACAGAGAGGAAGGAGCAGGGGAGTGTGTCCCAGGCCTGGGCCTGGCAGTGAGCGAGGGCTCGGGAACAGAAGTCCTTGTGACTGGAGCGAGGTGCGGCGTGAGAGGAGAGAGGGAGGGAGAGGCCAGAGAACACAAGATGGGTGGGCCACGGGGAGAGTGGGGGCCGGCTGGACTGTCCCGAGGGCTTCTGGGGTCGTCGAAGATCTGGTAAGCTTTCCCGGGTCTCGTTTCCTGGGGTCCTCTCTGAGGTGGGTGTTAGCTCCTGAGGGACGCAGAGGCAGAGTGGCCTGTGTGCCGTCCAGGGGCCAGGCGGGGCTCACACGCAGGTGCATGCTCCCTCCCTGGGTCCTCAGGTCCATCCCGGGCCCTGGGAGCTTGGGTGGTCACGTGGCATCCCAGGTCCGGCCTCCCAACTGAAGGGGCAGGTGGCCCAACCTACTGGGCCGGCGGGGCTTCCCCCACCGCCCACCTGCCCAGCCGTCTCCCTGGTTTCTTCCCTCCACGTTGTCAGTCTTCCTCCCGGCAGCCAGAGGAAATTTTGAAAATAGCCGTCCGGTTATGTCCTTCCTCTGTTCAAAACCCTCCCATGACCCACTGACTTTTCTGCTTGGTTTCTTCCCTGCCCTCCTCTCCTCTCTCTCCCTTCCCCTCCCCTCACTATTCCTCCAAAACACCAGGCCGTGTTGCCCTGGGGCCTTTGCACATGCTGTACCTTCTGTCTGTCACACTTTCTCAGACACCACATGGCCCTTCCCTCCCGAGGCACCTAACCTGAAGCTCATCTTCTTTTCCTACTTGCCTGCCTTCGCCTTCTCGTCACCACCCTCTCCCCCTCCGTGGCTTTGCCCCCAGCCCTGGCGTGGCTTATTCATTTGTAGGTGTTCTTCTTTAACGTCTGGGCCTGGGATCGGTTCATTCCCTCACTGCATCCACGGTGCGGAGCGGGGCAGGAGGTGCCTAGTCCGGGAGCTGAGAAGCAGCCAGGAAGCTGCCGTGAGAATGACCGAGAGCTAGCATTCTCCAGCTCTCCTTCAGTGTGTGACCCTGTACCATCCCCATGACCTCAGGAGTAGCAAATCAAGAGCCCGCCAGCTGGGTGTGGGCACCCAAGTTCTGCCCCTGTGATTGGAGGAGTTGGGGTGTGAGCCCAGAGCCCCTGACCCAGGGCAGG